TGGGACTAGCGCGCTCACCCCCCGCGGCCGCCTGCACCAGCAGCCGGTCCCCAGTAGAGAAGCGCTCTCACCCCCCCGCGGGCCGCTGCTAAGTTTTGCCCAACATGAGACCTTTGTGCCATGATGCAAGTGATGTTCCCTTCAGAGTCCACGCTGGGACCTGCAGCCAGAGTAAAGAGGGAGGACCCAGGAAGCCCAAATGAACGGGACTGCCTCCCCCCTTTCATTGCCCTACCAATGTTTCCCCCAGGAATTGAAATTGGTGGGGGCAGAGGCGTAATTTACAGGGAGGGTGCCAAAGCCGATGAGAGTGTAAGGGTGAAGGTCAGCTGTATGATAAATGCAGCTGAACTTCACCCTTACACTCTCACCTCTCATTGGTTTTGGCACCCTCCCTGTAAGTTACACCTCTGGCCCCTCGCCCCCACTAAATTTCAATTCCTGGGGGAAACATTGGTAGGGGAATGAAACGTTGGCTTCAGCACAAAAATGTATAGGAAAGGCCTCCCTGCTCTCAGCCAGGCTGCTGCCCAGGCTCCCAGTGACTAACACCCTGCCCCCTTCTGCAGCCCAAGGAACCCCCAGCTGAACTGCCTTAAGCCGCTAGCACCAAAACAGCCCCCGTCTTAGGAGAAAAGGTAGGGCATGCACAGGGACAGACCCTATGATAAGTAAAATAGTGATAGAAATGTAGCCATGTTAGTCTGGTGTAGCTGAAACAAAATACAGGACTATGTAGCACTTTAAAGACTAACAAGATGGTTTATTAGATGATGAGCTTTCGTGGGCCAGACCCACTTCCTCAGATAAAAAAAAAATGTAGATCTAAAATGTAGTTTTAGAAAATGCTTGGCTTTATTAAAATAATAAAGACGTCTTAAAATCACTATTTGATGGGAAAACATGTTTATTAAGGATTTTCCCATTTTCAAACAAACAACAAAAAGTGCTACATTGTCCTGTATTTTGTTTCACCTATGATAAGTAAGGCTTTCACTCTCCTGGGCTATTATATCCTCTGGTCATGCATGCTCCCAGTTGGCCGCTGCCCAAGCTCCCTGTGCCCCACCTGGAGATGAGCTACTGGTTCTCCACCAGAAACCCAGCTGCACCAAACCCAGCAAGTTGCCCCCAACACGTCAGGCAAAACTGTAACTTGCTGAGGTTATTTCCTTCCCTGTTTTAGAAGTCAAATGAGTTTTTTTTAGAGTAAGGGGTTTAATGTCTTATTGTATATTAAAAATGCTAATACCAGTAGTTCAGAACTCATGAGCAGTCCTAAAATAACAAACCTGGGTAAACCTTCAATGGGGAACAATAATTGTGTACAGAAATTAATTTGAACTTCAAATTGGTAAGGGTTCATTAAGAACAATGAAGTTCTCATTCACACACATATACCCATTTATGAAAAATAACTATGCCTTGATGTTGTTCTATTACAATTTAGCAGTACTTGATTCACAGCTACCTTGTTCCCTCCGGAGATTCAAATTTTGGTTGTTCCTTCCCTATCTCCTGCAATATTGCCAGGTTTCAGTTTCTAACAGCTCAACTATTTAAGAGCAAAAAATAAACAGAACATTTGAGATAAGGACATGATTAAGAGTTACTTTTATGCTTTTAATGGTTCCTGAGATCTAGCAGGCTTGCAAGATTTGGATGCAACCATTAGAGAAGGGAAATCATTTTTTGGGGGCGGGGGAGGTTGAGGTAGCCAGCTTCAGCATTTACATTTTGAATTCATGATGAGCTGTTACAGTGGAACATTATTGTAGGCTTAGATATGCCAGTCCATAATATGTATCTATTGATAGATTTAGAGACACTGTAGAATTAGTTTGTTCAAGTAACAGCTAAAAATTATCTAATTATGTTGATCAAATATTTTGGAAAAGTATTTAAACTTAAAGAAAATGTCATTTAACTAATGGTTTTAAAGCTGAGAAAGCGTGCAGTATTAAATACATTTTGTTGTTGAACAAAAAAAGTACATAATTGATAACGTATCAAAAATACATTGAGCTCATCTGTGTGTCATATGTTGTTTGCAGCTCTGCCTTACCAAAAACTGTGAAAGATTTACTCTTTGTAAAATACAGCTGGGTCACTAGGTACTGGAGTGATAAATTCAAGGATTTTTAATCTAAGTGAGAATTACTGTAAAAAGTAGTCAATTAAAAAGACAATAGGTTTCAATGGTGCTCACTAGTTTAAATTAAATACTATCGTATGCCCCATTTTGTGAAAGTATTTTTGTAATAATCTACTAAAATAGAAGGTAGACAACAAGGAAAGAGTTTGAAATTCCAGAAACAAGGAAAGTTGCTGGCTTTACTTCTTTCCAATCCCTTTGTGAGGTTGGCTTTTGAAAAGAATTAATGAAAAAGTAAGTGTTTTTCTCTTTGTCAGACACTCAGATTTGTACAACAGCATCCCTACATAATTTATTACATCTCTTTAAGGCCTTAAGCATATGACTAGGTGCTTTGCTGAATGAAGTCCAGTCTAGCAGAGAAGAGCACTTAGGAACTTTCTTAACTTTAATGCACAATTAAGCCTTAGGATAAGCATGTGCTTAAAGGCTTTGCTGAACAGGGATTGTTTGCCCAATTGGAGCTAAAGTCTTTTCCAGAGTCCAGACAAATGAAATCCTTGTTCCAAATTCAACTCAGTTGTCAATACCACCCTAGTGCATCCCATGAGTTATTTTACTATGGCCCCTACATTTTCCAAACAGTGTATTGCTTGTATTTGCCTCTCTCCCATGACTCCAGTTGGAATTCTGCAGTGAAACCCCACTTTCTACACATTTTATAAAAATAGCAGTGAGTGTCCTGACAACCTGCAAATATCAGAAGAGTTGCTATGTTAGTTTGTATCAACAAAGACAGAGGGTCCTTTGGCACCTTTTAAAAAACATGTTTTTTGTCTTAACTATACATCCATTACAGTGTTTTCACCATTTTTACAAAGTAAAACAACATTTTGAACACTCCTTACCCTTGGGTATGTCACTTCCCATCTCTATGCCTTACCTTCTCCACCTGTAAAATGTGAGAGTTCTTTGTAAAGCATGGTGAAATTTACTGGCAAAAAGTCCTCTATAAGAGCTAGGAATGATTATTACTAGCAAATCCCAATCTCTTGAGCAACCAATGATCCCTCCAACTCTTTTTATTGTCTCTCAATTAGGAAAACAAGCCTTAAAAATAATATTGAATGTCAGATGTGGGCTGTAAAGACGGAAGGGGGTATGGATTCAGATTTGGGAATGTAGCCTCATTGATAGCGATGTCGCACACATCTCTGTATGTATGTATGTACGTATATATCCCTGCCATCTGATTATTTCACTTCATTCATCTGATGAAGTGAGCTGCAGCCCACAAAAGCATATGCCCCAATATATTTGTTAGTCTTTAAGGCGCCATAGTATTCCTTGTGCAGGCTCTTAAGTTTCTGCCTCTGGGATGGCACACTTATGCTTTACAGTTGGGCTACGTCTAGACTGGCATGATTTTCTGCAAATGCTTTTAATGGAAAAGTTTTCCATTAAAAGCATTTGTGGAAAAGAGTGTCTAGATTGGCATGGGCGCTTTTCCGCAAAAGCACTTTTTGCGGAAAAGCATCCGTGCCAATCTAGACGCGCTTTTGTGCAAAACAAATCTGAGCTGTCTACACTGACCCTTTTGCACAAAAGGACTTTTGCCCGAATGGGAGCAGCATAGTATTTCTGCAAGAAGCACTGATTTCTTACATGAAATCGTCAGTGTTCTTGTGGAAATTCAAGTAGCCAGTGTAGACAGCTGGCAAGTTTTTCTGCAAAAGCAGCTGCTTTTGTGGAAAAACTTGTCAGTCTAGACATAGCCCTTGGTGTTTAGATGCCTGTTTCCCACCTAAGCCCCACTGTGAGCCACACACGGGCAAGACAGGTAGAGGAGTGCCTTTCCCACTGAGGGGGCTTTATCCTACAGATGTACTCGGAGATCACTTAACAGATTAGGTACAGTTCAAAATCTGGCTGCTGAAGGGAGTGGTCTTGGTGCCAATGTTATAGTGGTTAGCTCAGTGTCTAGAGCATCACTATGGGACACCAGATTTAGTTTCCCTCTCTGCTTGATGGGGTGCAAGGATTTGTACAGGGGGACTCAGGAGAGTGCTCTAACCACTGAGTGATGTGAGAGTCCGATATGGGGCTACTGCCATCTCCTGAGGAAACTGTTG